CGTATGCGTGGACAGAGTCCGAAGAAAGCCTTCCGCGCCGTCCAGGAGCTTATTCGTATCTCCAGCAACATGGACAGGGTCAGACAAAGCCTTGTCTCCCAAGCACCGGTTTTTCTCCTACCCTGCAACGGATCCATGACCAAAATTCCTTCCCCTCAGCGGATAGGGCTATCAGTGATTAAGTTCAATTTCTCTAGTCTCTTTCGAAATTCTCTAGTCTCTTGCGAGCGGAGTGCTCCTCCTTCTGAAATTCTCTAGGTCCCGTTCGAGCGATTTGTTCTTCGGTTTTGAATTCTCTAGTCTTTTCGAAATTCTCTAGCCCCTTTCGAGCGGTTTGCTCCTTCTTCTGCGTTCTCTAATTCCTTTCGAGCGGTCTTTAGTCTCTTTGGAGCGGTTTGCTCCTTCTTCTGCAATTCTCTAGTTCCTTTCGAAAATCTGGTCTGTTTCGAGCGATTTGCCCCTTCTTCTGAAATTCTCTCTTGTTTCTCGAGCTGGTTGCTCCTTGTTATCAAACTTGTTAGTCTCCTTCGAAACACTCTAGTGTCTTTCGAGCGGCTTGCTTCTTCTTCTGAAGCTCTCTAGCTCGTTTCGAGCGGTTTGCTGCTTCTTTTCAATTTCGCTAGTCTCTTTCGAAATTCTCTAATCACTTTCGAGCAGTTTGCTCCTTCTGAAAGTCTCTGGTTCCTTTCGAGCGGTTTGCTCCTTGTTTTCCAGTTAAGAGTCTCTAGTCCCTTTTGAAACTCTTTCGTCTCTCCGGGAATTCTCTAGTCTCTCTCGAGCGGTTTGCTCCTTCTGAAATTCGCTGGTGCTTCGCGAGCGGGTTGCTCCTTGATTTTAAATGCTCTGGTCTCTTGTGAAATTCAATTGTCCCTTTCGAGCGGTTTGCTCCTTCTTCTGAAATTCTGTAGTTCCTTTCGAGCGGTTTGTTCCTTGCTTTCAAATTTTCCAGGCTCCTGCGAAATTCTCTAGTCTCTTCCGGAATCCCCTAGTTTCTTTCGAGCGGTTTGCTCCTTGTTTTCGAACTCTCTAGTCTCTTTCGAAATTCTCGAGTCTCTGACATTGTCTATTTGGAGCTGTTTGCTACTTCTTCTGAAGTTCTCTAGTGCTTCTCGAACGGGTTGTTCCTTATTTTCTTCTCTCGTCTCTTTCGGACTTCTCTAGTCTCTTTCAAGCGGATAGCTCCTTGTTCTGAAATTCTTTAGTTCCTTTCGAGCGGCTTGCTCCTGTGTTTTCAAATTCTCGAGTCCTGTTCGAATATCCCTACTCTCTTCCAAGCGGTTTGCTCCTTCGTCTGAAGTTCTCTAGTTCCTTTCGAGCAGGTTGCTCCTTGTTTTCAAACTCTTTAATACCTGTCGAAAATCTGTACTGTTTTTGAAGTGGTTTGCCACGTTTTCTGAAATTCTCCGGTTCCTTTCGAGCGGCTCGCTCCCGTGTTCCCAAATTCTCGAGTCTCTTTCAAAATTCTCTAGTCTCTTGCGAGCAGAGTGCTTCTTTCTCTGACATTTTCTAGTTGCTTTCGCGCGGTTTGTTCCTTGTTTTCGCATTCTCTAGCCTGTCGAAATTCTCTACTCTCTGTCGAGCAGTTCGCTCCCAATTTCTAGTTCCTGTCGAGCTGTGTGCTTCTTGTTTGCACATTTTCTAGTCTCTTTCGAAGTTCTTTAGTCTCTTTCGAGCGGATTGCTCCTTCGTCTGAAATTCTCTAGTGCTTCTCGAGCGGGTTGCTCCTTGTTTTGATTTTTGTTAATTTCAACTGTCCCTTTCGCCCGGTTTGCACCTTGTCCTGGAATTCTCTAGTTCCTTTCGAGCGGCTTGCTCCCGTGTTCTCAAAATGTCTAGTCTCTTTCGGAATTTGCGAGTCTTTTTCGAGCGGTTTGCTCCTTGTTGTTAAAATTCTCTAGTCTCTCTCGAAATTCTCTAGTCTCTTTCGAGCGGCTTGCTCCTTCTTCTGAAGTTCTCTAGCTCCTTTCGAGCGGTTTGCTCCTTGTTTTCATATTTTCTAGTCTCTTTCGGACTTGTCTAATCTCTTCCGAGCGGTTAGCTCCTTCTGAAATTCTTTAGTTCCTTTCGAGCCGTTTGCTCCTTGTGTTCAAACTGTCTAATCTCTTTCGGAAGTCGTTAGTCTCTTTCGAACGGTTTGCTCCTTGTTCTGTAACTTTTTAGTCTCTTACGACATGCTTGCTCCTTCTTCTGAAATTTGCACAAGTTCTCTAGTCTCCTTCGAATGTCTCTACTCTCTTTCGAGCGGTTTGCTCCTTCTCCTGAAGTTCTCTAGTGCTTCTCGAGCGGGTTGCTCCTTGTTTTCAATTTCTCTGTTCTCTTTCGGACTTCTCTAGTCTCTTTCGGGCTGTTCTGAAGTTCTCTAGTTCCTTTCGAGCGGCTTGCTTCCGTGTTCTCAACTTCCCGAGCCCTGTTCCAATATCCCTATTCTCTTTCGAGCGGTTTGCTCCTTCTCCCGAAATTCTCTAGTTCCTTTCGAGTGGTTTGCTCCTTGTTTTCAAATTCTTTAGTCCCTGTCGAAAATCTCTACTGTGTTTGGAGTGGTTTGCTCCTTCTTCTGAAATTTTCCAGTTCCTTTCGAGCGGCTCGCTCCCGTGTTCCCAAATTCTCGAGTCTCTTTCAAAATTCTCTAGTCTCTTGCGAGCAGAGTGCTTCTTTCTCTGACATTTTCTAGTTGCTTTCGCGCGGTTTGTTCCTTGTTTTCGCATTCTCTAGCCTGTCGAAATTCTCTACTCTCTTGCGAGCAGAATGCTCTTTCTTCTGAAATCCTCTAGTTCCTTTCGAGCGGTATGCTCCTGGTTTTCTAATTTTTTTAGTCTCTGTCGAAATTCTCTAGTCTCTTTCGAGCGGTCTGCTCTTTCTTCTGAAATTCTCGAGTTCCTTTCGAGCGGCTTGCTCCTTGTTTTCAAACGCATTAATCTCCAATCTCCTTCGAGCGGTTTGCTCCTCCGTCTGAAGTTCTCTAGTTCGTTTCGAGCGGTTTGTTCCTTGTTTTCAAGTTTCTCTAGTCTTTCGAAATTCTCTAGTCTCTTTCGAGCGGTTGCTCCTTCTTCTGAAATTCTCTAGTTCCTTTCGAGCGGATTTTGCTTGTTCTGAAATGCTCTAGTTCCTTTCGAACGGTTTGCTCCTGGTTTTCAACTTCTCGAGTCTCTTTGGAGCGGCCTGCTCCTTCTTCTCAAACCCTCTAGTTTCTTTCGAGTGGTTATGCTCCCTGTTGTCAAATTATCTAGTCTCTTTCAAGAGGTTTCTTTTTTGTTTATGTCAAGTTCTCTAGGCCTTTTTGAGGGGTTTGGAATTTCGATGGCTGGCTGGCCAACTGGTCGAGGGGAAAGCTGCGCCTTCAAAGTCACCAAAAAGGGCCCACAAAACATATACATACTCCACTACTGAGACCCTAAATTCAGGATCGGGAAATCCTATCAACTATCTTAACCCGGATTGTGGTAGAACGACTTGTGGTTGCACGGTGCTGCTCCATTGCTCTGATGCTTTAAAGTGTCTGACCCTGCAATGCCCAAAGATGCCGGTGCATTCCGCCACCCTCTCCTGAGGCTTTTCCTCTGGAGTTGGCAGAGCCTTGGGACTTTTGCTGCTCCTCTTGATGGGACTGCGATGACGACGAGACGACGACGGCGACCACGCCAAAGCGATCAATGATCATGCCCAACAACACACACCACGAGTAGTATGTGCAGTTGTAATGAGGACCGCGCCCTTTACCAGTGATGAGGAGCGACCGTAAGAAGACTGCATAATCAACAGCATTGAGACATCGAGCTGCGGATCCATAGCCACGTGAAGTTAGTCTACAGAAGAGAATGCCACAACCCTGTCAAACGTAAAGAGAGATCCCACAGGCCATGAGAGTCTTGATGAATGTGTTTTTGGGTTGCTAGGACAAACCCTACGTCTCATCACAAATCTCTGGAGGCCAAGATGCAGAAAGCAGCGCTTTCGTGAGCTCGTCTGCTGCAGCTCCTGCGGCGGTGATGCCACTGCTTCTGAATTCCGTATACAGCTTTTGACACAAACAGCACGCACCACGCTTCAGGGCTTGGGGAATTTTTGGGGATTAGGGTTTTAAGAAGCCCACAAATCACCTGGAGTCGTGCGGTGTCCCGTGGGCCGGACTCCACACTCTTTTGCATCCCTACAAGCCTTTAAAACCCGCTTGAAACCCTGCAATGGCCCTAGCAAGCCTTGGTAAAAACCCTATGAAACCCCTAAATCCTATGAACCCTAACTCCTCGGAATCCTAAACCCTAAACCCTAATCCTCAAACTC